TCCCAAAAAAGTTATTCAAAAGATTTCACAAAATTCACAAGATTTGTCCAAATAATGACAAATTAAAAGTGTTGTTTAGATGTCTCGACACACTATTAGTATTGCATAGTTTAGACTGATTGCTACCCCACCGAACACAGCGGCCGATCGGGTTAATCACCGATTTGTGCGGCCACAGCCGTGTGGCGGTTCAGGTTTGGCCAATGATTAGCATTTGGTTCTATGCCTTCAATAATAAAGGTCTCGGAAGAGCAAGTGTTTTGAATCATCTCTATTAGTATTTGAGCATCATCAATTTAACTATGATTTCAACCATCGGTAAATACAAAAACCATAGGAATAATTAAAACGACTGCAAACTTTGAAAAATCCTGTCTTAACCTATTAATCCTATCTTGATGAAACTTAGATTCTGGTGTCTAGAGATGTCAACTTAAATTATGAAACTAATTTCAGAATTCCATCTACACGATTTAATAGTGAGGGAACGAGGTTATCAGTTAATCCAATACTATTGTATTATCCAACATATAGGTGTATTCATTTATAAATATATTTCACAGATTTTTCATTCCACCTAAACTACATCACTTATGCACCAAAATTTACTTATAAAAATTATTTATAACGTTTAAAAATTATGTTTTGATTTCATTCATCGTTTTGCCTGATTTTAATCACCGATTTCTTCACTTATATCTGATTTATCTATTGATTCACTAATCATTTGAATTGATTCATCACTTGAAAACATGTTCATTGTATGATATTTTATACTAATGTAATGTTAATTTATATAACTCGCCAATAGATAGGAAAATACACATTCATTTCAACATTTAAAGACACATTTTAGAGATTAAAGTTACTGCCAGGTTCTGTGACTCATTTGAAATAATTTGTATATTTCACTTCAAAGTGAATGTGTCAAAAACTACCGCACCTATATGTATATCCGTATATTAGTGCACCCCTTGTGTAAAAACTCACATTTACTGTAAGTGCACGCATGCATATGCGGCTAAAACGGCACAATAAGAGATGCGTCAAAAAAAGCACTCTCTTATATCGAATTTCCCTTATATCGCAGTCCCCTATATCGAGGACAGACTGTACATGAAAATGTGAGTTTGTATGTGTGTATGATATAATGCTTTGATAGATTGAATGTTGAGATTTAATGGCATTTAATGGCAAATAAAACAATTAAAATGTTAGGAATGAAATGAAGAAAAGCCTATGAATTGATAAAACAATTAATCGATTTATTAATTTGAATCACAATTTAAATAATTAATTTTTGGTGAAACATAAATGTGAAGCCGTTATTATTTATAGGAATCTGAATCACAGGCAATAACTTTGTTAACAGATATGAAAAGTGTATTGATTTTCATAAAACAATCAAATTATATAACAATAAACTCAATATTTCTCCAAAAATGAGAAGCGCTCCCAAAATATAATGGTTTTGTTTCCACAAAACATTTTATTAATAAAATTTTTATAAATTCGGTTTATTTATTAATTATAATTAATCGGCGACTGATAACTGTGCGAAACCGGTCAGTGTTTTCTCGTCCGATAATTCAGAAGATTCTGACGGATTCTACAAAAACACAACATTTCAAACACTTTTCATTATTAGAAATACTAAAACACAAACCAATGCAAAAACAACCGATTTATTGGCCGACGGATCTAATATGAGTTTCTCGAGGTTAGCGGCGACTACTGTAAAGTCCTTACTGTCCACCAGACCTGCGGTTATCAATTCTTGAGCTATTCCTTCCGCCGTATCTATAATCACAATACAAGTCAACTTAATTCAATTCAATTTCAATATATCATACATACAGTAGTGTACAATAGTGTACGCAACGTGTGTATAGTATATAATGTATATAATGTAAAATAAATCAAACCTTTATCTACAGTGAACTCAAACCTAATATCATTGAGTTCTTTCTTTGCATTTCGTATTCTTAGGACTAAATTAATTGGATTCGAGACGAGTTCACTATTGACGGCACAGTGAGCGGTCACAGCGGTGACAGTGTGGCCAATGGGCTCACTGTTGGTCACCATGTCATCAATGTGGTCGATGTGGTCCACCTGATGGTCACAAACATGGTTTGGTTGCACAACAACAATACGCTCATTGCAAGACACGTCACATTCAGCCACTGGTGTCTCCTTTTCAAGGCTGTCGTCTTCATCTGAAGACCAAACCCAATCGCCAGCTTCTGTGCGATGGAGTCGACCACTGGCTCCCTGTCCTCTTCGGCTGGTCTTAGCTTTTTTAGCCCTCTCTTCAATACTCGGAGCGTTTGATAATAAAGTTTTTTGTAAATAATTTCTGTCCTGTATTTTGTGTAACAAATATATATAAATATAAACCGTATAAATGATTGTAAAGTCTATTCAAACAATATGTTCACAAAACCTTTGCTTTTCTAAAAAATTGATGTTTTAATAACTCTGTAGACGACGGCCTCTTTGACGGATCTTTTTGTAAACAATCGCTAATCAGTTTGCGTATGGATTTGCCATAATTTTTATATTGATCTCTTTCATCCGACACCGATTCCAGCGATGGCGGCTCGTTCTGGAGGGTCAACATCAGCACCTGATCCACAAACCAATCCATTAAGCAAAGCACTTATCAAATAGTGGCTTCTATTCACCTTCATTGGCGGGTATTTATGATAGGGAGCGGTTCCGGTCACTAATTCAATGGCAGTTATGCCAAAACTCCATATATCGGCTTTGAAGTCATAACCAGTCACCTGTTCCATCACCTCTGGAGCCATCCAACACGGAGTGCCCACAAAAGTGTGCCGTGACTTCTGTCGGGACAGATCGCCGCCCGTCGCCAACCACGAGCTCACACCGAAGTCTGTCAATACAGTCAACATATAAGTCAATGGCATACAAATGGCAACCAATTGTCAACTCAATTACCGGCGATTTGAACGGATCCGTCGTCTCCGAGTAAAATATTGCCGGCTTTGATGTCTCGATGTATTTGTCCGTTTGCGTGGAAGTACTCCAAGCCTTTGAGCACTTCCTTCAACACCGTAGCGATGGTCGCCTCGTCGAACACCCCGTGGCGACAGTCTTCACACTTCATCCGGTGTTTGATTATATCTAACAGAGAGCCTAAACACAGACAACACTTGGGTTAGTCATCACAACACGTCATCATCATTACCACCGCCGAGAAGTCGTATGACAAGCCATAGTTCCTCCTTAACCACAAACGACGTGTAATACGTGACCACATTGTCGTGATTGCAGGCACTCATCGCCTGAATCTCTTTGAGTAACTCATCCATAGAGGTGTTCCACTTCTCCAGATTGATCTTCTTGATGGCACATCTCTCCCGACGCGGCTTACAATAGGCCGTATGCACGGCAGCCGTCGCGCCAACACCTGTACCACAACAACACATGACATCACTCAAGACATGACAACAACAATACAACACATCAACCAATGGTTACATTCATGACAACACTTGCAGTGATGGCGTGAATGTAGTGCTGGTTGTAGTGGTGGTCATCTCACCGATCACTTGTCCGACCTCATAGTCGTCCACATTGTTGGACCAGTTGTTCCCGTTATTCAAGTTATTGGCCGTATTGGCCGCCGACATAAGACTGGGTCCCACTTCAGCCATCTTTGCGGCCAACACTTGAGCACACGATCCACGGCTGGCGCCCTCTCGCGACCCATAACCACAACCGGCGCCACCACTCCTACCACGACTAGTGCTGCCATCCCTGCCATCCCTGCCATCCCTGCCAGCCCTGTGTCCCCCTCCCCCTGTGCTGACCACAAGTTGTTGGCTGTGTTCGCGCAACAGGTCTTTAGTAGCGCTGATACGTCGGTAAAGACCGGGTGAGTGGCCATCGGAAGCGATGGTCTCTTTGTGTATCACTTTGAAAGTATTGGACCTAATTTTACACACATTAACATACGATTGAAGTCTTATGAAAGAGACATTGAATTGTGGGAAATGTGCGAATGTTTGAGGCATTTGTGGCACAAATACTTCAACACTTGATTTTGTGGCTAAACTTTAAAATATATTTCATCTCTACTTTAGACATGATTTTGAAACTTGTTATACAATTAGACACAACTGTTGACTAAATCAATATTAGCACAAACTTTTCATTGCAATCACAATAACATAATGTTTGCAAACTTTCATTAAATGCATAATAAATCATACAAAATATTAAATATTTAATCATAGCATAATTTAGCATAATTACGAGTACTGTATATTCAAATACAAGTGCAATACTTGATTACATAGAGGGAAAAAGTGTGGACAATAGTATTTGTCTGGTATAATGAGTTGAATGAAGTACTTACTGTGTGCTGAGGGCCAGGGGTGCAGACATTGTGGCCCTAAGTTGCAAATGTTTGGTCGGATGTACCGCCGCTTCAATCGCTTCAAACAAATCACTCATTATTTAAATAATGAATAGTTTTTATACTTTTGTCGTTATTTAACAAAATAGACAATATTTTCTCATATTTAGGACATTTGTATCAACCAATAGAACATTTCAATGTAATAAATGAATTATGAATTCACTAAATATTCTTCAAGTGAATAGCAAAGTGTTGATAATTAACTAATAGATGTGAATGACCTCTAATTTTAAACATTCATTTTTCCAAATTAGCTAAAAAATGAACTAAAATTATTTTTAAGTCAAATCATTACAAGTCGTATAACAGTTAAAACAACAATAATTGTTTATTATAGTGTATATCTGTATTAGTCGACAATAAAACATAAATGACTTTCAAACTCAATATAGACGTTAAATTGAAGTTAAATATAAAATTAATGCCAAATCATTTCTGTTCCCTATCTTTATTGCATTATTTAATTCAATAGTAATTATGTTTTCTTTTATTTAGTTTTATTTGATGTCAATTATCAGAATTGAGAATTTGAACTCATATTTCAAATATCAAACCATTGTTAACAGCTTTACACAAAACATCCCTAAATAATGTTATATCAAATTGACTCACTTTTTAACAAATACTGAATTTAACAATTATGACGATCATTAACAAGCATTGACGTACTCTTTAATACATACTCTTTAATACTGTATTTTAGCCAATTTATTAACATCAAAGGATAAAGTTCAGTGTTACTTGGTCAAATGCCAACAATTTTATATTTAAAAATTTAAATTTTTAACCACAATTCTGCTATGAATAATGTGGTTTATAGGATCGTTCGGCCCCCCTCCCCGGCCCCATAGGACTAACATTGGAAAGCTCTCATATGATTAACATGGGTTTCTATGGGATAACAGCTTAAGTCTATGGCATAGGAATAACATGGGTAATGCAAAACCTATGGACAATGCTAACTCAATGAGATTAATGCTATTCACATTGCATGTTGACATAATGCATATTAACTTCATGAAATTAGAGCAAAGTTTATGACATGTCTATTGTACTCATATTAAATCTATAAACAAATGCTAACCAATTCTTTGAGCACTACCCGAATTGTGGTTAACGTATAGCATCGCTGTGTCAACCTTGTTTATTTTAAAAATGGCAAATAATTTTTGCCAATTGGATAAAGATTTAGAATAATCATCCATTTAAATAATTAGTTATTTAATATAATTTATTGCATTAGCCTGCTATGTGCAGTAATACATGTGCGTATTTTATTAAAAATGTATTTTCCTAAAGTGATATGTAATATTTAAAGCTGCTCAGAATATGTATTTATTAGATATCAAATATGTTATATAATATGTATTAAAAATGGCCAAATATTTACTTATATATTTACTAAAAAAGGGTCAAATATTTACTTAAATATTTATTTAT